ATGTTACAGTCCGAAGCAGCATTCAATTAACCAATTCCAAATAACTTATACAAATTCGTACTCTGACGTGTTCCAACATTGTTCATCGGGTTTTGAACTTCAATGTACAGAAGTTGACGTATTCCTCGTTCCGTTTCCATGACAGTTACTGGTACGTTAACGGTTTCGGTGACGGTACCGGTACCGGTAGCGGTTACGGTCGCGTTACCGTATGTGCACGCACACACCTGTACAGACATTTAAAAACGTTAAATACCAGTTTCGTACTTACAGATACACATGACCGTTGATTCTGCAACTGAAGTGCGGGTACACTATTTTACACAGTAAACGCGAGCGAATCGGTTTCGGAGTGCAACTGAGGGGGAATCTAAAAGGGGCGTCGTCTCGAGGAGACGTAATAGAAAATAGGAAATAGGAAATAGGAAATAGAAAATAGGAAATAGGAAATAGGAAATAGCATTTAAGTCAGCGGGAGCTGCGATACCTCGGCAGAAAGACAAATAGAAGAAAGAGGATCGTGTTTGAGATTGCATCCTTCTTTCAAGGTAGCCCTGGCGACAACACCCGACTTCGTCGTGTGTTGCCGCCTGGTATCATTCCCTAATTATAACCTTCTTTTTTATTTAAGCTAGCCCTGGCGACAACACCCGACTTCGTCGTGTGTTGCCGCCCACTATCATTCCCTCATTGTAACCTTCTGTTTTATATTAAGCTAGCATTGGCGTTGCCACGGGCTAACCCATAATTTACAACTATCATTCGATCGTGTAACTCTAAATTTACAACACCTGCTGGCTTATTGTGTTTTTGTCCTGAGTGCACTAACCTTAATTAAATTACATTGATATATTCCTACCCCTGACTTTTATTGAACCTTCAATTTCCAGTTTTGCCAGCTTACATTATCTCTATCCTTATACCCTGGCTTCACCGGAATAGGGGATCCCACAGACAGGAAATGAGGGGGATCCCACAGACACAAAATGAAGGGATCCCACAGACAAAAACCAGGGGGATCCCACAGACAGATTATTTGCCATTAAAGGGGTAGAGGACTCAGGCAGTTAACCTGCCGAAGTAAAGGGGTTGAGAACTCAGGCAGTTAACCTGCCAAGGTAAAGGACTCTTGTTCATGTTGATAGTGGGTAGTCTGGCATCATCTCCTTCTTGGTCGCGTTTGGACCTGATGTAGATACACTCTGGAACGGCTCTGGCTTCGACATCAAGTTTGAGGTTGTTGACTCCTTCCTTCATGCCTCTAACTCTAGTAGAATGACAAATGATCTTTTGGTGTTGTCCGTGAGAATCTTAAAGGTACGTTGGTGACCAACATTCCATGCAACAAAGCCCATAAAATGTCCACAGATTTCTGAAGCCTTGTTGTATCCTGGCTGTGCATTGTAGTCTTGGTCCAAGGTTATATTGAAGTTTGGTGAAATGTTGAACGATCCAATCCAGCGCAATTTGTTCAGGAAATGGGAGAATAAGCTTGGAATTTATCAAGTGGAGCGAGCATCTACAGGACCACAAATGCGTTGATAGTCACAATAAGGAAGCTTCTGCTCCCCAGGACGCAGTCACTTAGCTATGTGTCTTTGCAGGGTGAAAACAGAAAAACCCTCTGCTGTCATACTTACGCTTTTACACTAGATTGGTGTTTCATGGTCGGCCTTGTGGAAGCGAAGATGGTAGACCAGACTCACAAGGGACTTCACCGGACAGGGCCACGTCTCAGACGCTCGACACTGGCCAACCCACAGACTCCCTGTAGACGGCATTTTTTTGGTCTGTGAAGGTCAACGTGGCCTGGGTGAGGCATGTGGCTGTGGTCTGTCACGGCATTCAAAGCAAGAGACATGGTCCCCTCGGACTTGGAGGGTTCCACGGACGGTGAATATGATGTCACAGAGACAAAAGGCTTGGCTTCAGGCCTCAGGGGTGTTGGTATTTAGCAGGGCAAATGAGCCAGAAGAAGGTGGCGATACAGAAGTCTCGGATGTGGCAATTGAGGGTTCCCCCGGGGGCATCAGCAAAGTCCAGGGCGTCCAGCATGGCTTGGAGGATGGAAATGTTGGCCGGATAGGCTCGTTCTGGGGGACCCTCAGCATACTTGAGGCTCTTGTGGTAAGCAGTGAACACTGGATGGTTGTGGTCGGGTGCATGGGTCAGGGTCTTTTCTGGGATTGGCGTATCCCCTTTCCATTGGCAAGGAGGTCCTTGTCCACTGTATCAGCTCTGACATTGTTCGACTCGTTGTAACGGTGTCCGAAGACCAGGAGGTAACAGACCTTGGTTTCCGGATGAGGGCTTTCCGCATCAAAGTAGACTCCTCCCATCCCGGCATTAGCAGCTTCGGTGGCCCCGGAGAAGAAGGACGGGTCCTGTGAGACTATTTCAGCTAGGTGCGTCGGACGGCGGCAGAGACTTGCTGCAAGATTGGCGAAGGTGTCAATGTGGGCCCACAGATATTGTCCTTGCTCCTCATCCTTCCGCCCTTGGAGTGAGTGAGGGCAAGCTGAAGAGCACAGAACAGGCAGGCAGATTCTCTGATGGCAACAGAAACGATGCGCGCTTTGCTAGAATTTGCATCCATCATACGTACGTGGGTAACCCTTTGGCATCCAGCCACTTCAGCTTGCAATGAGAAGGCCGTTCCAGAGTCTGGTGGAGCATGTCGATGATCCACCCGAGGATTTTTAGTTGCCCAGCTTCCATCTCCAAACAGGATGCGCCCACAATGACCAACGGCTACCCTGGGGTTACATCGTTGGTCAGGGTAGGTAGCTAGCCTTCTGGTTTCACCGAAGGAGCTTCTCCTGTGATCTTCTCCTGCGATGCGCGGACATTGAAACTAACCCCTCCTCGGTAGGGTCTGCCCCAACAAAATCAATGTCTAGATGGAATAATCAACAACAGGACCATCAGCACCAGTGAGGATAACAACATGGTCTGCACCATCATTTAGTATATAACTATATTAGAAGGGCCTTCGTTGCAGTTCACGTAAATTGAAATCAGCGTTGTGGTGTGTGGGAGTGGATCTATACTACATCGTAGCTAGTAGTTATCAATAGATGCTCGGCGCTGTACAGAATCGAATCAGGAGAGCCCTCGTGGCTTGTCCTACTCCATAATCCATAATATATCTCCTCAATGTTGTCGTTGTTTTCCTCATTCGATAGGACGTCCGCACCGCGGCAAGATAGCGGTATCAACAACAGTCAGTCAGTCAGTCAACTCCATATCACGAGTCGAGTCTTCCGACGCACAAAGGAACGGTGCTTGCTAGGACTACTAGTAGTGTACTAGTCTATGTATTCCCTTCAGCTGCAATATTATTTAGTCGATACCGTACCGGTACCATGAGCATCCGACACTGTAACAATCGCGAGGCAACGAAGCAACCATAGCAACAAGAGCTGCAACAAGATGGTTCTTCCACCATGAGCATCTCGAGGTGCCGCCGCCGCCGCCGCCGTCTTCTTGCTATCGGTATCGGTACGTGGTCGGTCCCATCGATTTCAGCCCAGTACGACTGTACTGGTAGGACCAATGAACCCACGGAGACGTCAACACAACACGAGGACTCGACTCGACTCGACTCGACTCTTTCGAACGAAACAGAGGGTTCGAATTATGCTGTACTGGTATTCATGTTCTTCCAAGTAGACATCAAGGAGGCTCGTGCCAATACGGTCATTCTAGTCGCAGAACCGCTTTGTTGCACTACATAAGAGAGCATCCGGGTTCAAAAGACAGAATCATTGGCTACTAGTAAATTAATTTGCAGTCATTCTTGTATTATTATTTATAATTAAAAATGACCACGAACCTTCACCGAAACCACCCACACACACCTTTTTACTTTTTACGGCACAACATGTTAACGAATCAACTGGCATGTGCGTGCGAAAATTAATTTACTACTAGCTAGTAGTAAGCTTACTGTATTAGACTATTTATTTATTCGTCCTTGAGTCCTTGTGTTGACGTTTCGGCAGTTTCAACCGGCTTCGCGACGACCCAGTGCATAATTAGTTATACTCCGAAGTCTTCAATAGGTTCAATAAGTCACTTGAAATTGGCCTAATAAGACTTTGCCTCCAGCTGCTATTTAATAGTTTCTTGAGCTTTTCTTGTTCCCTTCCAGAAGGCCTATTACATGTAACTATTATTAATAATCGTCAAGACAAACAAGACGTCCAGATTGAGACTCCCGAGAAACATTCACTCGTACTCGAGTACTCGAGTACTCGAGTACATGTATGTAGTCATTATTAATATTAATACTCGCAACCGATACCAGCAGAGCTTGGTCATGATTTTAATGCTTTCGAATATTCTGTTCTCCTATTAAAAGCGAAATGCCAGAAGCAACTCCAATCTCTGATACTAGAGTACTGTAGACAATTCATCCGGGTTCAAAAGATAGAAATCAATTAAGCTGATTTGATTGCTTCGGGTCATTCTTGTCATATTTACGACCACCATTCAGGCTTCGATAACAGCTGATGGAAGCCCACACTTTTTTACTGCACAACATGATACTAACAAATAAATTGCGACTCGATTGCGGTCATTCTTTTCTCAGAACGCTGGTTTGCTCCTCCCTCATCCAGGAGTTTCCTCACTTCCCGGAATCAACTTCTGGAAGTCTCCCCCCATATTGTGGGGGGATATCCAAACATTAACACACAAGATGGAGTCATTCCCCGGAACTTTACGGTTCAACTTGAGCCTCCGAGGGAGCCGAAGGAATTCCCAAACAGCGCCAGGAATGAAGGTCACAACACGCTCTCACCATTTTTTTACTCACAACAGCTCTCACAACAACAACAAAAACGTCGACATCCTCAGCGTTCATTACGATCGCTGCCGGTAGCCATTGAAACGACTACTATACCACTGTGAAGAAGGTGTGTTAAGAGTAGGTAGCTTATCTACGGAAGTGATATCACAGATCACAGCAAACAACAAGCCACAAGCAACAAACAGTCATGTCTACACTTCTTATTGCTGGTGGCGATGGCGCTACTTTGAGTGAGAACGATGGTCCTCTTTTCGATTTGGACTTCGATTTGGAGGCGGAGGCGGAGATGGAGATGGAAGGAGACGCGAAGGATGACCCTTCCAAGGGAATGGAGAAAAACGGGGAGGAAGACATTGGGACTGATAATGACGGTAACGAATTGGATGACGGCAGTTATGACGAGAGTGAGCAGTCTATTGACTCTGATCAAGAACGAGAAGAAGCTGTTCGAGAGGGATTCTTGTGGTTCTTTGTGGATAAGCTTGGGTGCGCGGTTTTGGCTCCGCTTTTGGAAGCCCTGGACAGCTTCTTGAAGTCTATCCAAGACTATTTCATGTCGATTTTTGACCGTTTGATGCGTTGCTTCCGGGGTAATGACGAACCAGCTGACGCACAGGATTTGGTCACAGAAGTCGCAGATGCCATGGACCCTTCTTCCGCACTTGACTCTTCCAAGTTTTTGACTCACACCAACAGTGCAACTGGATTCGGCGGTGGTCCCACAGGCCTCGAGAACAGTGCTGTTGGATTCGGTGGAGGTCCTATTGGCACTCCTGGCGTGGCCGAAATGGCGGCTTCGGCTGTAAGTTCATTGCCTTTCGGATCGGATGGTCTCGATCAAGAACACGTGCCCCACAATATTTCTCTCTTGGTTCCTAACTGCCTTGTCCGTTTTGATATCTACGATCCCTAGGCTCAAGGTGCTGCAACTTCCTCGGCTTCTGGAGTTGCTGCCAGTGCTAGTGTTGCTGGAGCGTCTGCTGCAGGTGTGTCCAGTTGAATTATCATGTCCATTTTAGTATTTCCACATCGCCGCATTCTCAGATTTCCATGTATTCTATCATTTCTTCCAGGTCTATCTGGGGCCACCACATTGGTCGGAGCAGTTGCCGCTTCAAGTCTAGCCACACAGGCTGGAGTAGCTGTTGGAGGTAAGTTCGCAGTAATTCGATTGGCCTGATTTGATTCATTGGGATCTTCCAGAAAGAAATGCAGCTAAATTGCTCGTCTGTTGTGCTATTAGCAACACTGACTGTAGCAGCAGTATCTGCAGGGGTATTGCAGTCGACTTCATCAGCTCCAACCCCAACCCCAACCCCAGAAACACAATTTCCCACAGTTTTCGAACATTTTGTCCCCCCAGTTTGCTCAGATGCTGAAAAGATGGAGGTCGGGTTTGTCGAGCTTCAGATCAAGGGAATCCCACCTGATCTTCTGTTCAATCAACAGGACAGGCAGATGATGGAGTTCCTCTTCAGAGATGCTTACAATGACATATCTGTGAGTTCTTCATGGTTCAACTTTGCTCATGAATCGTTCTATTTATTTATTTATTTCATTCCTTCTGACTACAAATTCTTGTTTCCTCTGAAATCTCAGGGAATGTGTCTGGACCTGTATGATCGAGTAATGCACAATGTCACTATTGACAAGTGGGAAACAGATTGGGGCAACTTCACCAGCAGTGATACTCTGAGCTTCTTGCCACCTGATTTTGGTAGTCTGGATCTCGGAAACAGTTCAACGGTTGGCAGGATTGGCTCTTCTAAAGGAAACCAAACCTCCCAGTCCGACCCATTGATCTCGTGGCTTCAAGACAGCAATACTACCTTGGATGAATACAACGAACTGGTGGCCGACAGCATCACTACTGTTGTCTGGAAGGCCAGTGTTGCTTGTAATGGGTGTCCCGATTATGAGCCCCTGTTCCAGCTAGCCACCGAAGACAACACGTCAGCCAGGACGAGAAGGACTTTGAGTAATCTGCATGCCCACAGGAATCTTGTGATGCATGGGTTGAATCTTGAAATGTCTGAGTTCTTGCCTTTACATGCTGCATCCTTTGGATTCAATATGCAGACAGCCCTCTCGAATACTGCGGATGCTCAACTATCCAGAAGAAGGTTGAGCACCACCCCAGTGCAAGTTGTCTCTGCTATCACACTTGCAGCAACCACAACCGATGTGATCAGCCTAGAAGCGGAGCAAGTTCATGTGGTTGACCCAGAAATTCTAGAACAAGCCAGACTGCTTGTGGAAGCAAACAATGGGACCATTAAGACTCCTTTTGTCAATGCTGAGCTACTCACCATTCGGGAGTGTCTTCAAGAGAGCAATAGAACTGAAGAGGATTCAGAGTTGTGCAAGAAAATCCTTGAAGAAATTTCAGGGGAAATCGAATCTGAATCTCTGAGCCTTTGTTTGGAAAAACCCAGCAGTGGCCAATGCCAGCAAATCCTTCCTAGGCTTGTTGACAGAATAGTTGACTTGACTGGTCAACGAGTAAGCATCACCCAACTGGCTGCTCAACTATATGAGGAAGAAACTGAGACATGGGAACACACAAGCTCTGCCCAACTTGATGAAGATATGCAGGATGTGGGACCAAATTTTGATGCACTGCGTGATGCTGAGACTGCCTATTCAACCGCCACATCAATAACTACACAACCTAACACTGCAATGCCTACAGTTGCTCCCGGCAGTCCATCTGTATCTCCAACAACAGACAGACCCGCAAGTGCCAGTCCCACCACAGCTTTGCCTACAGTCACTCCTGGCAGCCCTTCGTTGGCGCCCACAACAGATCAGCCGACTAGTGCAAGTCCCTCAACAGCTTTGCCTACAGTCACTCCGGGTACTCCATCTGTTTCTCCAACTACAGACAAACCGACAAGTGCCAGTCCCACCACAGCTTTTCCTACGGTCACTCCTGGCAGCCCTTCTGTTGCTCCGACAACAGACAAACCCGACCCACAAGCACAAGTCCCACCACAGCTTTCCTACGTCACTCCTGGCAGTCCTTCGTGCGCCAACAACGAAAACCGACAAGTGCAGTCCCTCAACAGCTTTGCCTACACAGTCACTCCTGGTAGCCCTTCTGTGCTCCACAACAGACAAACCCACAAGCACAAGTCCTCAACAGCTTTGCCTACAGTCACTCCGGTACTCCATCTGTTTCTCCAACTACAGACAAACCACAAGTGCAGTCCCACCACAGCTTTTCCTACTGTCACTCCTGGAGCCCTTCTGTTGCTCCGACAACAGAAAACCACAAGGCAAGTCCCTCAACAGCTTGCCTACAGTCACTCCGGTACTCCTCTGTTTCTCCAACACAGACAAACCCACAAGTGCCAGTCCCACCACAGCTTTGCCTACAGTTCACTCCGGTACTCCTTCTGTTGCTCCGACAACAGAAGAAACCCACAAGTGCAAGTCCCAACTGCGCTACCATCACTCCTGGTAGCCCCTCATTGGCTCCAAAAGCAGCAGCAGTCAAAAATGGCAGTCCTACCACAGCTATGCCTACAGTCACAGCTGGAACTCCTTCTGTTGCTCCGACAACAGACAGACCCACAAGTGCTAGGCCAAGCACCTCATTACCAACTGTTCTTCCTGGTAGTCCTTCTTTGGCTCCGACAACAGAGGGGCCGACGAGTGTGAGTCACACCTCAGCACCTCCTACTGTTGCCCCAGGGAATCGTGGTGATGCTTCAACAACAGCAAATCCCACCACAATCGTGCCCACTGTTGCTGCTGGTAGTCCTTCCGTTGCTCCAACAACTACCAGCCCCACTACGGTACCTCCTACCACCCCTGGTAGCCTTCTGTTGCTCCAACAACTGCCAGCCCCACTACGGCACTTCCTACCATCACCCTGGCAGCCCTTCTGTTGCTCCAACAACTGCCAGCCCGACTACGGTAACGCCTACTATCACTCCTGGTAGTCCTTCTTCGGCTCCAACAACTGCCAGTCCGACCACAGCTTTGCCAACTGTCACTCCTGGTAGTCCTTCTTTGGCTCCAACAACAGCCACCCCCACAATTATGAGCCCCACGACAGCTTCCCCTTCTGTTACACTGGGTAGTCCCTCTTTCACTCCAACTACAGCCCAACCCACCACAGCTGGTCCCACTGTGACACCAACTGAACTCCCAACAGAGCAGCCAACACCTGAACCAACAAGTGAACCAACAAGTGAGCCAACAAGTGAGCCAACAGCGGAACCAACAGTGGAACCAACAGGGGAACCAACAGAACAACCAACAATAGAACCCACAGTGGCACCACAAGATCCCTCAGCTACACCGTCACAAGACACCTCAGTCACGCCCACTGGAGTCCCCGGAATCCCACAAACAGGAGTACCCACGACTTCACCATCGGTTAGCACTACAGCAGTACCAACACCGGATTCCTCACCTGGAATCACAGATGCCCCAACAGGCTGTACTCTCGAGGCAACAGCAAGTATAATCGGGATGGATTTCGAAGGTGACATCGCACTCATCTCTGATGAAGAGTTCACCTTGGCATTTGAACTTGCATTTGCATCTCTCCAGACAGATGATGACAGCTCCTGTGCATCATCAGTCAGTAGTGTTTCCCTTGACTATCGCACTGCTAGGCGCAAGCTGGAGAACTCTGACTCAAACCGTGCAAGAAATGTGAGGACCCGCCAGCCGAAGGTTTCTCAGTCATCTGGGGCACGGGTGCTGCAAACAACAGCCATACCCACCATGAGCATGACCACCAGCCCCAGCACAAATCCTACTGACGATTTCTATGGTTACGGTTCCGATGACTTCTACTATGATGATTTCTATTATGGTGATGATCTCATCCTTGTTTACCACTATATTGAATTCTTGGTTGTTTCAGAACAAGACGCCGGCACCTTCCTGATTGATGATATTTCATTCAGTGACCAGTACAGCGAAAGCCTAAGTGCTGTCACTCCCAACGCAGACTCCTTGACAGTGTTTTCTGTTCTAACCCTTGCAAGTGATGTCGTGATTTCAACCAATGAACCAACAGCTGAAGCAACACAAATCCCCACTATGATTCCCACGGAGAGCCTGCCACCCAGTGAATCCCCAACAGGATGCGAGCTTTCTTTAGCTCCAGTGGAATCCAACTACACAGTCGAATTCACTGGGGACATCAGCCCCTTGGGAGATGCCATATTTACTGGAGCGTTCACAACGGCACTAGTTGCAACATACGTGGGCAGCATTTGCCCTCCTTCACTAGAGAGTGTGGTTGTGTTCAGCAGGCCTGGTATCAATGCTGCTATGGCCAGCTCCTACCAGCTTTGGGGTGAAAGAAGACTGCAGAGTGTATTTGTTGGGTTCACAATAAGAGCACAGCAAGCCCCAGGAAGTGCTCTTATTCAAGCTTCTCAAGAGTCTCTGTTCCTTGAACAATTCACAGCATCCGTAAACACAGCTGGGGTTGTGGCAATCTCGGTGGCACTCTCCAGTAGCCTACCAAGCATGCCATCCAACAACCCCTCTACCAGCCCTTCCCTGCAACCTTCAACTGTGCCCTCCATCTTGCCCAGTGAGCTTCCATCAGCTCAACCATCAAGCAATAGTTCCTCTTTGCTATCATCAATGCCAACAGCGAGCACTCTTCCATCTGGAAGCCCGTCAGTGACTCCGCCAACGAGGCCTTCAGCAGCACCCTCACTCTCCACAACACCATCAGTGTTTCCAAGCAGTGTGCCCTCGATGAACCCATCTGCCAGTCCGTCAATCAACTCCACAGCAGCCCCATCATCTACACCCTCGATATCACCTTCTGTAACCCCAGGGGCTCCAACCACCAGCCCCATATCAGCAAATCCATCTACATCTGCCCACCCCTCAGTCAATCCTTCAGTACTGCCTAGCATTACTCCATCGTTGGAGCCATCTGAGAATCCTTCTGTTGATCCCTCAAGGAACCCAACATCTTCCCCTTCACGAATGCCTAGCGTTACCCCTGGGAATCCAACCATTAGTCCCACGACATCAATCAGCCCATCAGCGATCCCATCAACCAATCCATCTGTAATACCTAGCGCTGCTCCATCAAAGGTACCAACGAAAAGCCCAACACCTCAGCCATCACAAACTCCCTCCAGCACCCCAAGCACGATGCCATCTGTGGCCCCATCTGGTATTCCAAGCATGTTGCCTTCAAAAGCCCCATCCCAAGCCCCATCCAGCAATCCAAGCACGATGCCATCTGTGGCCCCTTCTGGTTCTCCAAGCATGTTGCCTTCAAAGACCCCATCACAAAAACCCTCCAGCACCCCAAGCACAATGCCATCCATGAGCCCTTCTGGTTCTCCAAGCTTGTTGCCTTCAAAGGCCCCATCACAAGCCCCCTCCAGAGCCCCAAGCACAATTCCTTCAATGCTCCCATCTGCTAGTCCAAGTAATGGCCCATCAGAGATACCCAGTTTTCGTCCAAGCTTAAGGCCTTCAGTTGTCCCATCAAGTATGCCTTCGAGTACACCCAGTACTAGCCCATCCAATTTCCCTTCATCTAGTCCCTCAGATGTACCCTCCATGAACCCAAGCACAAGCCCATCAGATGTACCTTCCACTAGGCCGTCAAGCATTCCTTCTCAATCACCAACAAAACTCCCAACCCCAGGGACACCGACTTCGAGCCCCACAAAAGTCCCCACTCCTGTCGGCGGAACGCCCACTTCGAGCCCACAAAATTCCCCACTCCAGTTGGCGGAACGCCAACTTCGAGCCCAACAAAATTCCCCACTCCAGTAGGAGGGACACCAACTTCGAGCCCCACAAAATTCCCAACTCCAGTCGGCGGAACGCCAACTTCGAGCCCCACAAAGTTCCCCACTCCAGGGGGAGGCACACCGACTTCGTACCCAACAAAGTTCCCCACTCCTGGGGGAGGCACACCGACTTCGTACCCAACAAAGTTCCCAACTCCAGGGGGAGGCACACCAACGACGTACCCAACAAAGTTCCCCACTCCAGGGGGAGGCACACCAACGACGTACCCAACAAAGTTCCCGACTCCAGTTGGCAGAACCCCAACTACATACCCCACGAAATTCCCGACTCCAGGGGGAGGCACACCAACGTCGTACCCAACAAAGTTCCCCACTCCAGGGGGAGCACACCGACTACGTACCCACAAAGTTCCCCACTCCGGGGGAGGCACACCACACGTACCCAACAAAGTTCCCACTCCGGAGGCACACCACACGTACCCAACAAAGTTCCCGACTCCAGTTGGCGGAACCCCAACTACATACCCCACGAAATTCCCGACTCCAGGGGGAGGCACACCAACGACGTACCCAACAAAGTTCCCGACTCCAGGGGGAGGCACACCAACACGTACCCACAAAGTTCCCCACTGGGGGAGGCACACCGACTCGTACCCAACAAAGTTCCCCACTCCAGGGGGAGGCACACCGACTTCGTACCCAACAAAGTCCCCACTCCAGGGGGAGGCACACCGACTTCGTACCCAACAAAGTTCCCCACTCCAGGGGGAGCACACCGACTTCGTACCCACAAAGTTCCCCACTCCAGGGGGAGGCACACCGACTTCGTACCCAACAAGTTCCCCACTCCAGGGGGGGGCACACCGACACGTACCCAACAAAGTTCCCCACTCCGGGGGAGGCACACCGACTTCGTACCCACAAAGTTCCCCACTCCAGGGGGAGGCACACCGACTTCGTACCCAACAAAGTTCCCCACTCCAGGGGGAGGCACACCGACTTCGTACCCAACAAAGTTCCCCACTCCAGGGGGAGGCACACCGACTTCGTACCCAACAAAGTTCCCCACTCCAGGGGGAGGCACACCGACTTCGTACCCAACAAAGTTCCCCACTCCAGGGGGAGGCACACCAACGACGTACCCAACAAGTTCCCCACTCCAGGGGGAGCACACCGACTTCGTACCCAACAAAGTTCCCCACTCCAGGGGGAGGCACACCGACTTCGTACCCAACAAAGTTCCCCACTCCAGGGGGAGGCACACCGACTTCGTACCCACAAAGTTCCCCACTCCAGGGGGAGGCACACCAACGACGTCCCCAACAAAGTTCCCCACTCCAGGGGGAGGCACACCGACTTCGTACCCAACAAAGTTCCCGACTCCAGGGGGAGGCACACCGACTTCGTACCCAACAAAGTTCCCCACTCCAGGGGGAGGCACACCGACTTCGTACCCAACAAAGTTCCCCACTCCAGGGGGAGGCACACCAACGACGTACCCAACAAAGTTCCCCAGTCCAGGGGGAGGCACACCGACTTCGTACCCAACTCCGGCTCCAATCTAAGTGGCAACCATTTAAAGTAAGGAGTGTTGGTCGCCAATGCTGGGAGCAAGCCAGTAGAATAAGAGAATGCGACAACCAAAGCTACTTAGCTAGCTAGCTAAAAGAGAAAACAGCAACCAATAAGTGGATAAACAAGCAAAGTTAGTTTATGCGAAATGGGATTGATCAACCAAGGAACTGCATGATTACCGAGTTTCTTTCCTCCGACTTTGGTGGTATTGTAGAATAGACTTATAGCTAGTCGCCATCATTGCATTGGCTGCTCCTTCCTCTATTGATGAGTTGTCTGGTACTTTTTTGTTTGTGTGACCGTGCATGATGCTACGAATTAGTTGACCTTTTATCTGATGAATCTGGGCTCGCAGGAGATGTTTGGAGGGTACACCTGGCTGGTACTGCACTGGTTAGAGCTTATTAGCTAGCTAGTCTATGCTGTTTGGCTGATCTCGGGCGCCGCCGGGCCCATGCTTTGGTTGATAGTATCCTGAGGAATGGGGACTTGGGTGTAGCCCTGGTATGATAGAGTACCGTACGGTGATCCTCTGTGTTTTGTCAAGCCGCGTTCTATTACAGTTTCGCTCGCGAGTTGCTTGAGAGCTAGATCAAGCCACTAGCAAGCTATCTAGTCAGCCTTCGAGCACAACACTCACTTGTAGCTAGTGGCTACTACCGGTAGCTTGTACCTGTGCAGAAAGGCATGAATGCACCATGTGAAAGAAGAGGTAATGGGTCATGTAGCTGTGGTGAACAGGGCATACATGTACCAGTGTATCAGTACGGATACTAGCTAGTAACTCAAGACGTCGATAATTTTCTAGCTAGCTAGCTAGCTAGAGCTACTACTAGCTAGTACGGTACATGTTGTTGTGGGTTCCCGCGGGCGCACCGTTCCTCGTGGCTTTGCTTCGTTGAGGACGTAAGGCCAAATTACAGGATGCTCGTGACTGTTTCGAGTCACAACGGCACAAGGGGTATCCTGTGTTCCGCTCAATCACTTTCCCACAGCACCACAATCACAACAACCAAAACAAAAAACAACGTCCAATTCAGATACGGAAGTAAGGCTGAGAGGACTGACTGTGGCTCTCGGTCTGCAGTTGTTGTTGCTCCACAGCTGTCAACTATACCGTACGGTACAGTACTGAACCAATCTTATCTACTCTACGCTAAGCTGTTGTGTCTGTTAGTTGGTTTCCTCAAGGTTAAGAAGAATCGTTTCGGAAGTGACTGATCTTTTCTGATCTGATCTGATCGAGCAGATCAATTGAGTTAAGTTAAGCATGGTGTTTGGGTTGGGTACTAGCAAGAAGAAAAAGGAGAAGGAAAAGGAGAAAAATGCGGCCTTATCTGCCCAACAACAATCTCGTGCCAACTCTGCTCGTGACCTCGGAGGCTCCGATAGAGATAGGGGTACATCCCCTCGGCTAACTAGCCGCAGTCAATCGGTCCAGCATGTGAGCCCCCGCTATAACAAACCCACTGTGGGCGCTGCTAGCTCTTCCCAACTCAAGTCGGCCATGAAGAAGAGTCCAATGAGTGCTAGTACCACTGTCGGTACTTCTGCTAGGGGCAACTCTGCGTCCAAAGGTCCTCCCGCGAGCATGCGAGCCAGTGCTCCTCCCAGCAATCGAGCTACATCTCCTCTGAAAAGCGCCATGAAATCGTCCAACCGCTACAGCAGTAGCACCACCACCTCTCCGATCACGCTCACAACGACCACAACCACCAAGGTTCCTCGACAATACTCGGGGCCCATTGATGTCGATGAAATCTCCATGACACCCACGACTTTTTCGGGGGACGGCATTGACGTCGACTCGATCATGGACCAGCCTCCTCGTAAAATCACGACATCCTCCTCCAGACCCACCTCCACGATCAAATCCGCAGCCAAGAAAACAGAAGCCTTTCAGCAAAAGAACAACCAACTCGCCAGCACCCCCAAGGTCTCCAACTCTTCCAATTTTGCCACTCCTGCATCTGCTCGAACCAAAAACAGCAATGCCGGCAGCAGCAGTCCCACGCGAAGTCCCAAGACCAGTTCCAGCGGTCACCACAAAAAGCCCCTTGTCAATATGACACCCGATACGGCCATGTCCACCCTCCCTTCTTCCTCCTCTTCCAATCATAATAAACCCAGCATTGTCGATCGATCTCCCGGGTCCTATGTCAAGAGTAGTCGACCATCGGACGACTTGTCCGTCGTTAGTTTTGACAAGTCACTCGATAACATGAGTGTCATGAGTCGCGTGTCCGTGCATATGGATCATTTTTTGGCCGAAATGGCCATGGCCGACAATGCGCAATTGGAACAACTCGCCGTCGAAGAAATGAAACATCGAAAGATTATTCCACAAAAACTGAAAAAGTTAAATGCCAAAATTGCCGTTTTGAACGAAGAAAAACAAGTCCTCGTTGGACTCATTGATCAATTGACGGAACTCGTCAACAATAAGGAAGTCAACAAACGCAAACGAAAAGAACGAAAAAAAGAAAAGAAACGTCTCAAAAAGGAAAAGAAAAAGAAACGAAAAGAAGCCGAACGCAGATTGGCCAAAAAGTTAAAAGAAGCCGAAGAAGCGGAACGCAACAAAACATTACAACAGCAACAACAGGCGGACGACGAAACCGATTCGGACGACGAGTACATTGCCAAAACACTTGAAGCTAAGGACGACAGCAGCAAGAAATGGTGGGCTCCTGATTCCGCGTCCGTGGCAGGAGATAGTGTTGCTGCGCCTGCCGCCAATAAGGCATCATCCTCCAAGGTGGCGTCTATGGATGATTCCGTGGTGGGCGGTGATGCCAGCATTTTTGGTGGTGACGATGATTTTGCCAAATTGTGGAACGATTCGTCGTATGCCGGTGGTGGTGCAGGAGGACATGGATCGAGCAGTGTTTTTGGCGACAATGACGAGCACCCACAACGCAACAACAATAATACTGATGATGATGATGACCACGACATTATGATTGGAATGGATACGACGGAAAAGGCGAGCGGTAGTAGTCATGAAAACAACAACAACAACAACAACAACAGTGCTTCCTTGTTGCAATCATCCACACACACGGATAAGGCTGACAACACAGCTGCCGCAGTCGCCGCCGTGGGAGCTACGGCAGCAGTGGCCAGTACTGCGGCGATTGCGGGGTACCGGTCGGCCCGCAAAAAGAAGCAGCAAGAAACACCTGCCAAGCCGGAATCCTTCACACTCGTAGAGACATTGCCCGACAAGCCAGAAGACGATCCCTTGGCGAATGTATCTCCCATCAAACAACAAGGCGAACAGAGTGATGATGACGATGACGATGATAGCGACATTTTGCTGACAGCCGCTGCTGCCGCGGCATTTGCTGGATCCACAACACCCAAGAGTGACCGAACCTTGGGAACCAACGCTAGCGGAGACGAAGATTTGCAAGGCAACAATAAGAGAGCAAGCAGGTTCTCGGTCTTTCAGGAGACGGACACGTATCTTCCAGAGCACATGCCTGGATCGGCCGGAAATTCTGTCAATGGGGAAGATGGGTCGGAAGGATCTGGATCTGATTCCGATTCGGACAGCGACTCGGATTCGGACAGTGGCGCATCTGCGGGAAGTGGACAAGTAGTGCTGGAAGACGAAGATGATGAGCCAGAACATAGTTCCAGCCATACTTTGGCCAAGCAACTCATGGTGCGATTGAAGAAACAAGAAGATAAACAGGCTGAAATTGAGGACCTGCAGGATAAACTCAAGGAAACAATGCTTCGCAACAGCAGCAATCGACACTTGATGACTGGTGGAGCATTAGAAGCCTACAATACCCTGGATCACAGTTATATGGATGAAAAGGATCGAACAAGACGGTTGAGCCTCCCACTGTCTTCTGCGCTGGACGACTCTGACGACGAGGAGGACAAACCAAAACACGACAAAATTGCCAGCTTGGATGTCGAGGAAGCGAAGGCACCGGTGGGCGTTTCTTCAGAAGAATTAGAACAACTGCGAAAGGAGTTGCAGTCGACTATGCAAGAAATGGAGAAGCTCAAGGTCCAAAAAAGTTATCACGAAGACCGAGTGCGAGAACTCTTGAATGAATTGGAGAATAGCAAAAACGATAGCAAGAAGGAAGGCAAGGAGACGGATGATGAGGATGATGACATCAACTCCGACATGGAATTGGACGACGACGACGACGACAACAACAACAATCGCAAACGAGCGCTGGAAAATGGGGATCTCCCTGATGAATCTAAAAAGAGCCAGAACATACAGGCATACTTGGACCAGAAAGTGGATGAATGTGCCGAGCTCGCTGCGACGGTAGAACAGCTCAGAGAGGAGCTGTCACAAAGACAAGCCCAAATCGACGAATTGGAGGCTCAAAAAAGTGAGAAGGTTGATGACACGACAAATGATAAGAACGAAGACGAAGCGATGGAAAGGTCTTCGTCCATCCCCAAGCCTCCAGATGAGCTAGTGTCAGCTGTATCTACCGATATCAGCAAAGATGCTATTGAGAAGCAGCTGCTGTTAAAGTCAGCCGAATGCATCGATCTTCGGGATCAGATTGAAAAACTCAAGGAGGAGGTGAAACAGAAAGACGAGCAGTATCAAGAAGTCCATCGCGATCTTTTTACTTCCAATCTTGCCTTGGGAGTCGAGGTTGACAGAAAGGCAACTGCACAGCAAGCCTTGGACGACAGAACTAACGAGCTCGAGGCTGTTCAAAGGGGGAAGGAGGAGATGGAGGCCAATATGGCCAAGTTGGAAGAGAAGATGGAAGCCTTGAACGAAGAATCGTTTTCCAAGGCGACCATGATGGACGAGATGAAACAACAACACGACGCGAAACTGAAGGAAGCGGTATCCAGAGCGGAGAGGAACCAGAAGGAGCTCATCTTCGCAAACAGGCAGGTCGAGGAGTTGCAAGCACGAGTAGAAGAGTTGCAATCCCAGTACCACTACCTGGAAGACAAAGGTCTTGAAAACGAAACTGTTGTTGGTGAGCTACGAAACTTGCTGATTGTGGAATCCGATAGGAAAGACGAAATGGAGAAAATGGTTGCTGTGGTGGAGAAAGAGAAAGCCGAGGTGCTTGCCGAACTAGAAATGGTGAAGAAAGAGAATGAAATCAACAAGGCATTGCTACAGGACAAGAAGGAGTTTGACACGGATGAAGGCAAGAGCAAGGTAAACATCCAGGGCGAAGTCGAAAGGCTAATCGCCGACAATGCCGAGCTGGCAAGACAGTTGAAGGACGTTCAAGCGTCAGAGGCTGCAATGAAGGACGAACGAGAGAGACTGGTTGCAAACGCCACAAATATGAGTATTATGCTGGCAGACTCTCGTAGCAAAACAGATTTCTTACAAATGCAGGTAAGTGCACACGAGTGAAAAGATGGCCTCGATTTCTGACGGCGAATCACACCGTCTAACCGATTTTGGGGTTCTGACAACCGCAGCTGGACGAGTACAAGGGTGCAGCCATGGTAAGCAGCGAGCACGGTCCAATTAGCAGCCAGAGTGAACATGGTATGACCACCCCAAACAAGAAAGGTTTACGCGGTTTGATCAACCGTGGCGGCGACGGCGGCGGCGGCCTCATGGGTGACAGTTCTGAACGCAGCGTGGGTAGCATGGGGGGCAGCCGTCGTGGCGAGCGGAGTGCAAGATTTCGCTCCTTTTTGCAAAATCGAATGGGCCGACAAGGAGAAGGTGGTCCCGCGAGCGGTCCTCTGAGCTGAGCACATTCAACCACTGTGTTACCTCACCGATTCGATTCAGCCGGCCGCTGTCGGAGAGCATGCGTTCCCTTGCAGGCAGTAATGTATTTGGCCAGTTTCATTGGTATAAGCCCTGTTGAGTTTCTGTTGTCAACTTGGTTAAAACATAGCTATTTGTGATAGAGAACGGTGATTTCATCCACGGCCTCGTCGTCGACTCTCCTTTTGCGGTGAAGCCCTGACTTGCTTGGAGACTGGACTAGGAAAAAGGTTGGTGAGAGCTCCGCAAAGATTGTATGATAGCCAAGGATCTTCCGTGACCCCTTGCAAAACGAGATGTTTGTGGTGTGCTCATTAGCTAGCTTTGTAAGCCAGTATCGCATATGATATTTTGTACCCATGAGATGGTCCAACACCATTCGGACAGCTGACATCATCTTGATTGCATGGTCGAACTGCTAACCTACTAGTATTCTATTCCACATGTCAAGATCCTCCCTCAATGGAAGACGATCGAAGAAGACTCCGATCCAATGAACCATGAACTGATGAACCGAGGGTGGGAACATTTTGTAGTTCTCTCTGAAGTCTGCTCGAAATACCCCCAATCTGCTTACTGTGGCCCGCAGAAGTCTCTGCAGCACAAATGGCAGTTTGTGCAACAGGTGACAAGGTGCTCTGCCGATTCCTTTGCAGCCATCGCGACAAGAAACGCAAGTATCTCGATGCCTGTCTTTCCCAACGCCGCCACTTTACTCCGTTTGTTGTCCTTGCATGGGGTCGAAGCTGAGGCACTCACCAAATGTATTTCTTCTTTGCAGCGAGCGAAGTGGGAACGCCCTTACTCAGTGGTGCGTGGCTACGTTAATGTTCGGCACCTCTGCATGCTTAGCTCTCGTGTCCCTGCTGGCACAATGAGCTACCGCCGTTCTCTCTGGGACGCCGATGGTGCACTTGCACTCTTCCGCTAATCTTGCCTCCCTTACTCCCTCTTGACTTCCCCTCTACTTCCTCCATTTCCTCATCGCACCCCCCTTCCCCCCAACCCCCGGTTTTGCCCTGCTCCCGTCCTCTTTGCTCTGCCAGTGCAACACCCATTACTTTGCCTAGCTTAGCCCCCCCTGCTCCTTTAAAACGTATCTACTTAGTATTTATTTCTCCTTCCCCCCCCCCAAAAAAAATGAACCGGTGCATCGCGCTAGCCACAACCAAAAGATTTGTTGCAATAATAATAAAAAAATATACTGAAGCACAACACATTGCAAGCTAGCTAGTTAGCTACCACGCCTGGTACATATGAATGCACCAAAGCTGCGCAGAGAAGTCATCCACGGAAGCCTGCTCGCGACCAACGATGGACTATTTATAGGGGGCTTTCACCTCTCACAATGCATAGGTGGATAGCCAGGATCACCAGTGTTTGTGTATTGAGAAAGAGTGCATCCTTTGACATCTCGGAAGCAATCATTCGTCCCTGACCAATATTGAAGAGCATCGCAGTTGGTATGGCCAACACCAAAATATGCTTCACACAGAGCCTTGCAAGTGTCCGCAGAAGTAACTGTCACACCGCCATGAGGTGAAATAAGAGTTGTCGTGGTAAGAGGCATACAAGTATAAGGCTGACTGCAACAATATCCTGTCATCAAACTGGTTGAACATTGTGCCCTAATTGTGCTCGGTGCTTGAGAAGGATTGCTTGAGGGCCCAGTGGACAGAGATGTGGAGGGCATATCAGAAGGACTGATGCTCCCAGTTGAAGATGGACTGGATGATGGACCAATGGAAGGCATACCAGATGGAGCTATGGATGGCATGTCTGAGAGACTGGTGCTTGGAATCAAAGAAGCGATAGGTGCAGGGTTCAAAGAAGGTACATCTGATGTACTGGGACTAGCTGAACCTGCATTCAATGATGGACTTGTGCTTGGATTCGAAGAAGGGATAGCTGAAAGGATCCCAGAAGGTACATCTGATTCACTGGGACTAGCTGAAGCTGCATTCGATGATGGATTTGAAGAAGGGATAGCTGAAAGGGTTAAAGAAGGAGCATCTGATGCACTGGGACTAGCTGAAGCTGCATTCAATGATGGACTGGTGCTTGGATTCAAAGAAGGGATACCTGAAAGGCTCAAAGAAGGTACATCTGATGTGGTGGGACTAGCTGAAGCTGCATTCAATGATGGAGCCGTGCTTGGATTCAAAGAAGCGATAGCTGCAGGGTTCAGAGAAGGTACATCTGATGTACTGGGATTGGCTGAAGCCACATTTGATGATGGACTGGTGCTTGGATTCGAAGAAGTGATAGCTGGAGAGTTCAGGGAAGGTACATCGGATGTGCTCGGACTAGCTGAAGCCACATTTGATGATGGAGCGGTGCTTGGATTCAAAGAAGCGATAGGTGCAGGGTTCAAAGAAGGTACATCAGATGTACTGGGACTAGCTGAAGCTGCATTCGATGATGGAGCGGTGCTTGGATTCAAGGAAGTGATAGCTGGAGGGTTCAACGAAGGTACATCTGATGTACTGGGACTAGCCGAACCTGCATTCGATGATGGAGCGGTGCTTGGATTCGAAGAAGCAACGGCTGGAGGGATCAGGGAAGGTACATCTGATGTACTGGGACTAGCCGAACCTGCATGCGGGGAAAGACTTGTGCTTGGATTCGAAGAAGCAACGGCTGGAGGGATCAGGGAAGGACCATCCGATGTGCTGGGACTAGCCGAACCTGCATGCGAGGAAAGACTGGTGCTTGGATTCGAAGAAGCAATAGCTGGAGGGATCAGGGAAGGACCATCCGATGTGCTGGGACTAGCCGAACCTGCATGCGGGGAAAGACTGGTGCTTGGATTTGAAGAAGCAATAGCTGGAGGGATCAGGGAAGGTCCATCGATGTGCTGGGACTAGCCGAACCTGCATGCGGGGAAAGACTGTTGCTTGGACTCATAGAAGCAATAGCTGGAGGGATCAGGGAAGGTCCATCCGATGTGCTGGGACTAGCCGAACCTGCATTGGATGAGACTGGTGCTTGGATTCAAGAAGTATAGCTGGAGGGATCAGGGAAGGTACATCGGACGCGCTGGGGCTAGCTGAACCTGCATGCGGGATAGGCTGTGCTTGGATTCGAAGAAGAGATGGCAGAAGGGTCAAAGAAGGTACGTTTGATGTGCTGGGACTAGTTGAAGGGGCATTCGATGATGGACTTGTGCTTGGATTGGAAGAGGAGAAAGCAGAAGGGTTCAAAGAAGGGACCATGGATACACTGGGACTAATTGAAGGGGCATTCGACGATGGACTGGTGCTTGGATTGGAAGAAGAGAAGGCAGAAGGGTTCAAAGAAGGTACATTTGATGTGCTGGGACTAATTGAAGGGCATCGATGATGGACTGGGCTTGGATTGGAAGAAGAGATGGCAAAGGGTTCAAAGAAGGGACCATGGATACACTGGGACTAATTGAAGGGCATTGGATGATGGACTGGTGCTTGGATTGGCAGAAGAGATGGCAGAAGGGTTCAAAGAAGGTACATTTGATGTGCTGGGACTAATTGAAGGGGCATTCGATGATGGACTGGTGCTTGGATTGGAAGAAGAGATGGCAGAAGGGTTCAAAGAAGGACCATGGATCTGGGACTATTGAAGGGCATTCGATGATGGACTGGTGCTTGGATTTGAAGAAGAGATGGCAGAAGGGTTCAAAGAAGGTACATTTGATGTGCTGGGACTTATTGAAGGGACATTGGATGATGGACTGGTGCTTGGAGTCGAAGAAGAGATGGCAGAAGGGTTCAAAGAAGGGACCATGGATACACTGGGACTAATTGAAGGGGCATTGATGATGGACTGGTGCTTGATTTGAAGAAGAGATGGCAGAAGGGTTCGAAGAAGGAAAATTTGATGTGCTGGGACTTATTGAAGGGACATTCGATGATGGACTGGTGCTTGGATTGGAAGAAGAGATGGCAGAAGGGTTCAAAGAAGGGACCATGGATACACTGGGACTAATTGAAGGGGCATTGGATGATGGACTGGTGCTTGGATTTGAAGAAGAGATGCAGAAGGGTTCAAAGAAGGTACATTTGATGTGCTGGGACTTATTGAAGGGACATTCGATGATGGACTGGTGCTTGGAGTCGAAGAAGAGATGGCAGAAGGGTTCAAAGAAGGTACATTTGATGTGCTGGGACTAATTGAAGGGGCATTCGATGGTGGAGTGTTGCTTGGATTTGAAGAAGGTATAGCAGAAGGGTTCAGAGAAGATGTGCCAGGTAAAGCTGTTGGTGCCTTAGTTGGTGCTGCGGGGGATTTTGTTGGTCCTGGAGTTGTCAAGACATCATTTGCAAGGGTTTGTACAGAACCTACTACCAAGTTCGCTGCTTCAGGAGTGACATCTTTGAGCTTTTCACTGTACTGGTCACTGAATAAAGAATCATTAATCAGGACGGTTTCTGTGTTTTGCAAAGCAACAACCACAAATTCAACATAGTTTGGCTGAGGAGTTGGTGCGACCGTGGGACCCGCCGTGCCAGGGCCAGCTCTGCTGGGGCTGGCCGTAGGGCCGTCCGTGGGGCCAGCCGTGCTGAGGCTGGGTGTGGCTGAGGGACTGGCCGAGGAACTGGCCGAGAAACTGGCCGAGGGGCTGATGGAGGGGCTGGGGCCGTCCGTGCCAGGGCCAGCAGTGCTGGGGCTGACTGTGGGGCCGCCCGTGCCTGGGCCAGCCGTGCTGGGGCTGGCCGTGGGGCCGTCTGTGGTGCCGGGTCCTGTTGTGCTGGGGCTGTCTGTACTGGGGCTGGTCGTGCTGGGGGCGTCCGTGCTGGGGCTAGCAGTGGTGGGGGCGGCAGTTGTTTGCAGCACACGTGCTCCAGTTGACTGAAAAGCTTTCTCCTGGTGGTTCCTCAAATTTCTTGCCTTGGTTGGGTGAGAGTTTCCCAGCTTGCGGTTCCTTGTAGATCGACTGTCAAGGGAAACACTATTGACTAATGATGTACAGTTTCCATCCTGGAGAGATGCAAACGCTTGTTCAAAAGCAGAGGTGAAATCTTCGTCAGAGATGAGCGCAATGTCACCATCAAAATTCATCCCGATTATACTTGATGTTGTTTCAAGAGTACAGCCTGTTGGGGAGGAAGCCGTGGGGACTGGTTGAGCTGTTGTGGGATTGGCACTTGTGGGTTTCACAGAAGGGGAAGCTGTTGAGGGACTGGCGCTTGAGGGTTCATCTGCTTTTGGAGCCACAGGAGGAGTACCAGGAGTGCCTGTTGGCCGAGATGTTGTGGGACTAGCGTTTGTGGGTTCGTCTGCTTCTGGAGCTACAGGAGGAGTACCGGGTGTCACAGAAGGGGAAGCCGTTGTGGGACTGGTGCTTGTAGGTTCGTCTGCTTTTGGAGCAACAGGAGGAGTACCGGGTGTCACAGAAGGGGAAGCTGTTGTGGGACTGGCGCTTGTGGGTTCGTCTGCTATTGGAGCCACAGGAGGAGTACCAGGAGTGCCTGTTGGCCGAGATGTTGTGGGACTAGCGTTGTGGGTTCGTCTGCTTTTGGAGCTACAGGAGGAGTACCGGGTGTCACAGAAGGGGAAGCCGTTGTGGGACTGGTGCTTGTAGGTTCGTCTGCTTTTGGAGCAACAGGAGGAGTACCGGGTGTCACAGAGGGGAAGCTGTTGTGGGCTGGCTGTGTGGTTCGTCTGCTTTGGAGCCACAGGAGGACTACCAGGAGTGACCGTTGGGAGAGATGTTGTGGGACTGGTGCTTGTGGGTTCGTCTGCTTCTGGAGCTACAGGAGGAGTACCGGGTGACGAGGAAAGCGTTGTGGGACTGGTGCTTGTAGGTTCGTCTGCTTTTGGAGCACAGGAGGAGTACCGGGTGTCACAGAAGGGGAGCTGTTGTGGGACTGGTGCTTGTAGGTTCGTCTGCTTTTGGAGCCACAGGAGGACTACCAGGAGTGACCGTTGGGAGAGATGTTGTGGGACTGGTGCTTGTGGGTTCCTCTGCTTTTGGAACAACAGGAGGATTACCGGGTGTCACAGAAGGGGAAGCTGTTGTGGGACTGTTGCTTGTGGTTCATCTGCTTTGGAGCAACAGGAGGAGTACCGGGTGTGACAGAAGGGGAAGCGTTGTGGGACTGGTGCTTGTGGGTTCGTCTGCTTTTGGAGCAAGAAGAGCAGTACCGGGTGTCACAGAAGGGGATGCTGTTGTGGGACTGGCGGTTGTGGGTTCCTCTGCTTTTGGAACAACAGAAGGAGCACCAGGAGTGACGGTTGGCAGAACTGTGGTGGGACTGCCACTTGTGGGTTCGTTTGCCTTTGGAGCAACAGAAGGAGTACCAGGAGTGACTGTAGGCAAAGCTGTTGTGGGTTCATCTGCTTTTGGAGCAACAGAGGGAGTACCAGGGGTGACTTTCGGCAGAGATGCTGTGGGTCCAGGGCTTGTGGTTCTGTCTGTTCTCAGAGAAGCAGAAGGAGTACGATGGGGGGCTGTGGGCGGAGCTGTGCTGGGACTTGCACTACTTGGTTTGTCTGTTGTTGGAGCAACAGAAGGAGTTCCGGGAGTGACCGTAGGCAGAGCTGTGGTGGGACTGGCACTTGTGGGTATGTCTGTTGTTGGAGCAGCAGAAGGGCTACCGGGCGTGACTGTGGGCCAAGCTGTGGTAGGACTTGCACTTGTCGGTATGTCTGTTGTTGGAGCAGCAGAAGGGCTACCGGGCGTGACTGTGGGCAAAGCTGTGGTAGGACTTGCACTTGTCGGTTTGTCGGTTGATGGAGCCACAGAAGGACTGTCAGGAGTGACTGTAGGCATAACTAGGATAGGTTGTGATGTGGAGGTTGAATAGGTTGTCTCAGCATCATGCAGGGCATCAAGATTTGTTTCCACTTCCTGAATCTCTTCTTCTAATTGGACAGAGATGGTTTGTCCCCATGACTCGGTTTTTTCCTCAGATAGTTGAGCAACCAGTTGGGTGATGCTTACTCGTCGACCAGTCAAGTCAAGCATTCCGTCCACAATCCTAGGAAGGATTTGCTGGCATTGGCCACTGCTGGGATTGTCCAAACAAAGGCTCAGAGATTCAGATTCGATTTCCCCTGAAATTTCTTCAAGGATTTTCTTGCACAACTCTGAATCCTCTTCAGTTCTATTGCTCTCTTGAAGACAGTCCCGAATGGTGAGTAGCTCAGCATTGACAAAAGGAGTTTTGATGGTTCCATTGTTTGCTTCCACAAGTAATCTGGCTTGTTCTAGAATTTCTGGGTCGGCCACTTGGACTTGCTCCATTTCTAGGCTGATCACATCTGTTGCGGTTGCTGCGAGTGTGATCGCAGAGACAACTTGCACTGGGGTGGTGCTCAGTCTTCTACTGGATTGGCGAGCATCCACATTATTTGATAGGGCTGTCTGCATGTTGAATCCAAATGATGCAGCATGTAGAGGCAAGAACTCAGACATTACAAGATTCAACCCACCCGTCACAAGATTCCTGTGGGCATGCAAAGTTCTTCTTGTTCTGGCTGACGCATTGTCTGCAGAGGCAAGCTGGAACAGGGGCTCATAATCGGGACACCCATTACAAGCAACAATAGCCTTCCATACAACAGTGGTTGTGCTGTTGGCCACCAGTTCGCTGTATTCATCCCAGGAAGTATTGGTGTCTTGAAGCCACGAGATCAATGGGTCAGACTGGGAGGTTTGGTTTCCTTTAGAAGAGCCAATCCTGCCAACCGTTGAGCTATTCCCGAGATCCAGACTACCAAAATCAGGTGGCAAGAAGCTCTGAGTGTCATTGCTGGTGAAGTTGCCCCAATCTGTTTCCCACTTGTCAATAGTCACATTGTGCATTACTCGATCATACAGGTCCAGACACATCCCCTGTAAATTGGCAAGGAAGCAAAAATGTGTGGTCAGAATGAATGAAATGAATAGGAGGATTCATGACCAAAATTGATTGGTGAACAACTCACAGATATGTCATTGTAAACATCTCTGAAGAGGAACTCCATCATCTGCCTGTCCTGTTGATTGAACAGAAGATCAGGCGGGATTCCCTTGATCTGAAGCTCAACGAACCCGACCTCCATCTTTTCAGCATCTGAGCAAACAGGGGGGACAAACTTGTCAAAAATTGTGGGAAACTGTGTTTCTGGAGTTGGGGTTGGACCTGATGAAGTTGACTGCAATACCCCTGCAGACAATGCTGCTGCAGTCAGTGTTGCTACAGCAGAACAAACGAGACTTTAGTTGCCATCCTTTCTTGATGAAGCAAATGGAATCAATCAAATCAAATTATGACGAACTTACCTCCTACAGCAACTCCAGCCTGTGTGACTAAACTTGAAGTGGCAACTGCTCCGACCAATGTGGTGGCCCCAGCTAGACCAGCAAGAAATGATAGAAAACATGGTGAGAATGCAGCAATGATGAAAGTTTCTTTAGATTGTGCATGTGAATAATCAACTGGACACACCTGCAGCAGAAGTTCCAGCAACACCAGCACTGGCAGCTACTCCAGATGCTGAGGAGGTTGCAGCACCTTGTGCCTAGGGATAATCGGAGAAGGCAGTTAGGAAAATGGAGGGCCATGGGTTCTACACATCGAGACCATTGGATCTAAGGGACAATAAACTTACGGCCGAAGCTGCCATTTCGGCCGAAGCCGCCATTTCAGCCACACCAGGAGTGCCGATAGGACCTCCGCCGAACCCATGGACAGTAGCACTTTTCTCGACGCCTGAAATGGTCTGTGTCCATAACTTGGAAGAGTCCACCGATAGTGCAGAAGGGTCCACAGCATCTGCAACTTCTGTGACCAAATCCTGTGCTTCTGCTGGCTCGTCACTACCCTGGAAACAACGTAACAAACGATTGAAAAACGACATGAAAAAGTCTTGAATAGACTTCAAGAAGTTGTCCAAGGCTTCCAAAAACGGAGCAAAAACCGTACACCCAAGCTTATCCACAAGAAACGACACAAATCCCTCTCGAACAGCATCTTCTCGATCTTGATCAGAGTCGAATGACTGCTCACTCCCATCATAACTGCCTTCATCGGACGCAATACCACCCTTATCACTCTCAACGTCCTCCTCTCCAGTTTTCTCCATTCCATTGGAAGCATCATCCTTTGTGCCTCCTTCCAAATCTTCATCGACATCGAAATCGATAACAGGTGGACCATCGTTCTCACTAGCGTCATCGCCACCAGTAATAAGAAGAGTGGAAAAGTCATCCTTCGTGTCTCCTTCCACATCGACCTCCAAATCCAAATCCACAAATGGACCATCTTTCGGGCTCAAAGTAGAGCCATCACTACCAGCACTGTGAAGTTTAGACATGACCATTGTGTTTCTTGTTCGTGCGTTAACCTGTTGTTTGCTGTAGTACCAGTTGAAGTCGTTTCAATGACTCTCGGGATAAATTTTGTGAGGATGTTGTTGCCTTCGCAAACTTGCAATTGGGAAAGCTCATTTCTTACCGGTGTGCACGAACGGGGAACGACGAAGGAGAGATACGATCGACTTGCATCATGTCGAATCCGGTCATTTTATTGTTAATAAGACGGTCGAAAAGGGGGGCCAAAATATTTACTCAGTAGGAAATAGATGGCTTCAAAGGAAGAATCTTACTGTGTCTGGAATGACGTTTACTTGCTCATTGGGTCGCGTGGCGTGGATAAACCCATGCAGAGAATGTCTTTTGTCAGGGGAGACTTGATTCATTCTAATAAAGACAACGTAAACAATTAGATTACATTATGCAAGGCTCAAGGTGACAAGAGTTTCCTGCACCTGTGTTTTTTATTAACAGATTCTGCCCCCCTATCGTCACGGCGTACTAGGAACTAACTAAACTAGGAGTAGTACTTTAGTAGTACTGGTACTTCTTACCGGTACGCAAGTATCGGTACAGCACGTCTTCTTTATAGTACCTGGTACATGTACAGCCCACTGCGACGATGATCATTGTGTGAGTCCATAATAAAAAAAAAGAATTTGAAATGAGAAAATAATTACTGGTACTAGTAGTGCGACGTTCCACGCGACGCATACGGTACTCGACAATTATTGGCACGGAATGTCTTGAGTTCTGGGACCCCTTAAACATCAAATCTTTACCCCCGCTCCGAACTGGCAAAAATTTGATATTTGGGTACCGGTACCGGTAGCCAAAACAAGACTTCCCCTGGCTTCCACTATGGTCGTACCGGTACTCTTGAAACCTCTGGTAAGCACCAATCTGATGGTCTCAAAGCATCAAGGATAGAGTACTAGCTAGTACTGATAGAGTGCTCTGCAGATCTGAAATGAGCTTCCGAGAGGCTGTTGCCTTGTGGCTGCTTCTCGCTGCTCATAGTGCCCACTGAGTGATATCTCGTCGCTCCAGGATGGGAGAAGAAGTGGTTGTGTCGTCTACGAGTCCGTTTTGAGGCATTTTGAGCTTCAGAAGACATGGAACTCCTTTTGTCGCTGTTATCGAACGGAACGAACGAACGAGTGAATGATTTTTCTCGCAACCTCGCGCAGCCTGCTTCTTTTCCGGCTGCCCGTGGTATCGGCTCGACTGATGAAGGATTGTGGTAATGCGGCTGGAGTGCGAAACCTGCAGAAAAAACAAGGGCGGCGTCAAACACCGAGAGCATGTTGAATACGAGCAGACCAGACCACAACAACGAACAACAAGGACGGACTCCGCAATCGATGCGGCAGTGTCAGCAGATGCTTGCTGCGTAAAAGGCTACGGGAGTGCTGATTTTGGCCATGCGGTTGCCACTTTGATTTCTGGTGGGGGCGGACCCACGAAGGTGGTGTCAAGATTACTGGAGTAATAGAGCCTGGCATGTTTCTACAAAAGGCAAATAGTTTGCTTTAGGGCATTGAACTCTAATGGAAATAGTTTTTTTAAAGCAAACTTATCAATCGTCGCAAAAGAAAATATTGAAAGAGAGCTACGATGCAGCTACTAGACTATTATTGCTTTAATCACAGCTGAACTATAAGCTACACTTCTTTTGAAACAGGGTAAGATTGCTAATTGGGAACTTCTCTTGGCTCTGAGGTTCTCTTTCTCTCATCTACTCAAGTGTGCTTTTGAAGCTTGGCATGAGATCGTGATAAGGCCACCTCAATTGACTCCAAACCTAGCCGCAGCCGCATGTCTCTCAAGCAACCTAGCTTTCCCAAGCATGCAGCCACTCTCGCACACTTGTCTTCTACGGTACGGTACAGTACGGTACGGTACAGTACGGTACGGTACCGCAACATGGCTGAGAAAATAAATACTAAATAAAGAAGTTCCAGTCGCACGATAAGCAGGACTCATATGTCATAGATAGATTTAAGCCAGCGGAGCTGTGTAACCTCGGCAGTTTCAGTGTAGAAGCAGATACCCCCCTAGCTAGCTAGCTAGAAGCAGATACCTCTAGTGCTTAGCTAGTGCTTAACTTGCACTTAGCTAGCTAGAAGCAGATTCCCCCTAGCTAGAAGCAGATTCCCATAGCAAGCTAGAAGCAGATACCCCTAGCTAGCTAGAATTATAGATATATAGCATTCGCTGGCTTTAGAGTTTTTCTGGTAGAAGCAGATCCCCCTACTAGGATGCATGTAAATAGCTTTAGCTGGTTTAAAAGCACCATCCTACTAGGATACTTATTAAGTTTTTGCTGACTTATTTCTATTCTGAACCTACCCTTATACCTGCAGGGACCACCGTAGCAGGAAAAACAATTAAAGGGGTTGAGGGCTCTGGCAGCAAGACTGCCGAGGTTAAGACAGTTTTTTATGACTGTGACTCCACTCCACTCCCTCCATGCATAGCACGGTCCGACATCAACCCCTACAAAAGCAATAAGTCCGCAATCGATCCACAAGCGGCTTTACAGCGGTGAAGCCGTAGGAATTCGCCACTTCTTGATCATTGAAGCGTATAGTGTGAGATTGTGAGAGATTCAGAGATCCTCAACAACCTGGGGAATCAGCCTGCTTCCAATCTTGCAGATAGCTCTGCATCCTCAACTGCAGGTATTGAAATGTCAAGAGGCAACAGTTGAGTTTATAGGTAGACAAGATAACTTTAGTCACAATGTAGCAAAAACCCTCACGATTCCTCTGCGCATGAATGCTACGTGCTTCGAGCACCCCAGTACTTACTATCGTTTCGTCCTGGAGCTGCTCGCGGTCACAACTCTCTCACTCACTATCATGCAGGTGAAGGAGCTACTCGATAGCTTTATTGGATTGTCATCCATCGAAGCCAACACCAACAATTACACCCACAATTTGCTCCAGTGCACTACGCTAAAAGCTAGTGTAAAGATCTTTCGAGTGTTTTGAGTTTGAGAGAATGAAAGTTATGAGAGGATTAGAAAGCTATGAAAACTAATCAACGAGAGAGATCCACAACCAAAGGATCGTAGATCTGAACTCCCGCGGGAGACTGTAGAGTGTGATAGAGTAGGTTGCGGTAGCAATCCTACTCACTCCACGATCCAAAAACGGAACGCGTGGAAGATTCGTCTAGCATTTATCTAGTAGCGTGGAAGTACTCCACGCTGGCTAAATATCTAGAGCGATGTTTCATCATCAACCTAGTATGACTAGAGCGGTCATTGAGAACCCTGTCTCAATGACTATTCACGAAAGACTCTGTCATGAGTCGAACTCAAACCCTATCTAGGATCGAGTCGCGAATAAGGCTAAGAGCCGTGTATTGCACCAGAACAATCGTTCTTGACCAAAGTCGGGCGCTATACACAAGATTTCGGACTCCGAAGATTCTCAAGAGGAGACTGCGAGAGAACTCGGGGCGGATCTCAGACCAGAAAGAAGAAGAAGACAAGCCGACGAGGCCAACGAAGCGTGGAGTCTCAGATCCATTGATGATTTGGACCTTGAAGGTGTACTTGGCGCTGTTAGCATCTGCTGGAACAGTGCGAAGTTTGTAGGTGGTAGAGCGAGAATCGTCGATTTCGCATTCATCGTCGAGGTCGATGAGAGGAAGGATTGGTGTGTCGCGCAGCTTAGACTCGAAGCTGGTGTAAGCGTCTTTGGCAATCTTCATGGTAAGGAATAGGTTGAGGTAGCTGAAAGCTATTGTGTTTGTTAACAAAATGCACTACGCTAAAAGCTAAGTGTAAAGATCTTTCGAGTGTTTTGAGTTTGAGAGAATGAAAGTTATGAGAGGATTAGAAAGCTATGAAAACTAATCAACGAGAGAGATCCAACCCAAAGGATCTTAGATCTGAACTCCAGCGGAAGACTGTAGAGTGTGATAGAGTAGGTATGAATCGAAAGTATGCAGGTGCCAATCCTACTCACTCCACGAGATCCAAATAACGGAACGCTGGGATTTCTCCTAGACAATTTTCATCTAATACTGTCAGCTGCTGCGCTAAATATCTAAGCGTTGTTTCATCATCAACCCTAGTATGACTAGAGGTCATTGAGAACCCTGTCTCAATGACTATTCACGAGAAACTCAGTCATGAGTCAAACTCAAACCCTATCCTAGGATCGAGTCGCGAATAAGGCTAAGAGCCGTGTATTGCATTCGCCCCCTGACAAGGGTCACGGAAGGCACGACATCAGTCGGACAAGGAGAACATATGAATTAAAGGGGGGCACTCTCCGGAGATTGGATTTAGACATGTGCGTCGCAATGGCAATCCTACAAGGGGATCAGCCTTGTATGGGTGTAAATACATTATGTTCCAAGTCTGGTAGACTGTGCCGCCTCTGGCGGTAGCATTGAGCCGTACAGTGCCTTTGTTATTGACTCGGTCTGTTGTGTAAGGACCTTGTGTCTGTGTTGCTGACACGTACTAACGGTTTTGATATTGATGAATCATCATAGTATCGTTGACATTGGTGTTGATGAGGACACTGCGTGTTCTCCTATCGTGTTTTTCTGGATAAGTCGTTTACTTCTTAATGTATTTCCGGTTTGCTTTGAAACGGACGTGGTGAGTCTTGTCACGATTGACGCGCGTGAACTTGCGACGAGTCCATGTTCTCCCGGAGAGTCTTCTCGACCTCTGCGCGGGACTCACGTTCTCTGTCCATGACAACCGGTCATGGATACTGGGTAACCCACGTCTGTTTCAGAACGATGTTACTCCGTTGCTGTCTTGGAGCAGCCCTTGGGTGTTCATTGGTCCAATGAAACTACGAAGTTCCTTCCTGTTGGTAGGAAGAGCGATAGCTGGATCGCATCTATTATCTTTTTAGTTAAGGGTTGGCTTCCTTCTCGAGTAGTCCAATTGTCTGATACTAGTTCTTCCTTTCGAGGAAGGCTTTGGTAGTTTGATTTTAATCCCGACTTCTTGAAGTCTTTGGAAAGGTCATCTAACTATTCAACGCGATCCGCTAGATCGACGTCCGTTAGATGAGTTGATCATCAATGTATGCACGGACATTTCTCTCAAGTCATCATGCGTGTTTTCATCTTCCTTCGGAAGATGTCGGGACTATTAAATAGGCCCTGCAACCTCTGGTACTCGTGCTTTCCCCTCGGGAGTGCAATGTACAGTGTTGCTTCGAGTAGGTGACAGCTCGATGTGGTAGTGTCCCGTGTTCAGGTCTAGACTGTAGGCACTTGTAATCCATCTTAGGTTCAAGAACATGTCCTGTATTTTTGGATAGATAAGGCTTCTGCTTGATCCGTTTGTTCGTTCCAGATCAGAGATGATCGCAGATCCTCTTTCTTTGGGAGATAAAAGTTGGTGCCGCCCACTTGGAACGTTCACCTTCTTGAGTACTCCTGCCTCGCAGAGACGTTCAACCTCCTTCTTAAGAGTGTTGGTATGGACCCGTGGAGTAGGGTGAGCCCTAGTATAATAGGATTTAGCGTCGGGACGAAGTTTACTTCGTAGTCGTCCATTCGCAACTCTCCCAAAGTACCTCGACTGGGTCGAAGCACTTGTGAAAGGCATGAGGCAGTTCTTGCTCTTCCTTATTTAACTGGTTTCGACTCTGGCACATCTGCCTTAAATCCATTTGTTCGTATGTTGTATCAAGAATCTTCTTGAGACTATCTGCATTGTCGCTGACCGCCTGCAGGATCAGAATGAAGAAGTTCTCTTCTCATTGGTGTCGCTGTCTTTCATAGGAATAGATGCGCCGTCCCATCCACTGACATGGTAGTGAATCGAACTTGAATCCTAATCAGAGAGAATGTCTCGCCTATGATCATGCAGGATCGGAAATGGAGAAGTTTCTCCTTTCTATTGGTATTGCCATCTTTCGCCGGGAAAATGCTGGTTCCACCCAATGACATGGTAGTGAAATCAAACTTGATTCTTAGGTCGCCGAGAGTGTCTTGACCTATGATCCTCTTGCGCCCCCAAGTTCTTGGTGACGTGTAAATTCCATTTGATAATTCTTCATCGTGGAACTCGGAATCCGAGTGTGCCCTTACACTTCGTGCGGGGTTTCAATCCTTCGAGAAAACAGTCCGTAGTGGCCCCCATGATTCTTCATGAGTAAACTCTTAGCATGAGTTTGAGTAATTAAAGTTCCGGATGCTTCTGATCCAGTAAGAACAGAGTGTAACGGTTTTCGTTTCCCTTCGCTCGTCTGTTAAATCTACATAGACGATAGTTTCGAGGTCTCTTGTCTTGCGAGTTGATGAGTTGATTGGCCAATGGACGAAGTTAACGATGCTGGACAGATCGTCAGTGTCTAGTTGAGTAGTCGCTAGGCAATTATCTAATTTGCCGTAGATTTTAGTTGCAAACAAATCTTGCTTACTATTTAGTGAGATATCTTCATCACTTAGTATGAGCAATCGGAACATGGTTCCGTTGAATCATCGTCCTGGCCTAATCCTCAGACGGAGATCTCTCCATCCGAATGATTGAAAGTCGAATTCAGCAAGCGCCTTGTCGACAGCAGCCATCTTCTTGTCCATCATGTTGATGGATCCAACAGAGGAGTCGTCCTCGTTGTCGGAGTTGTCCGACTTGCGCTGGCAACATGGTTGCATTCGCTCTTCTTCTTGCGATCAGCCTTGACCGCAGCGTTGGAAACTTTCTTCATGAGACAGAGAGTTCCTTCTTGGTGTAGGTCTTGGCGTCGTCGGACTTGCGTTTCCAAGTCTTGTTCTTGTTGTACGCTGGCTTGTTATCGTTGTCAGATGAGGACTGAGACTTGGCCTTGAGCTTCTTCAGAGTCATGCAATCAGCAGTGTTGTGAGTGCTGGACTCGTGGTAGTCACACCATTTTTCTTTCGTTCTTGGAAGAATGTGATCGTTGTTGTACTTCTTGCTGTTGTCTTCTTCGAAGGAGCTTGCTTGGTATCACCGCCCTTGTCAAAGTCTTCGGAGGATTCATGCGTTCGCAGAATCCAATGGTCTCCGATAGGAGCTGAGAAAGATCGAAGTCGTCGGTCCATCTTCTTCATCCACGAGCGTGGAATTCCATGACAGCAATGTCAATGACTTCGTCATGGTTCAACGTTTGGTGGGTCCAAAAGGTGGTAGACGAGGAAGTTCATCGGTGTTCATCCGACTGAGGTTGTTGAACTAAGCCCGAGTAGACATATCAGAGGCTTACGCATCTTGCGGCATGAAGCGTTTCTGCTTTCAAGAGCTTGTAGGGACAGACCGCTTCGACACAGGCATTTATGCCGAACGTAATGTCAGAGTCGTCCAAAGCAGCTGAGCTGCTCCGTCCCAAGCATTCTGGAAACGTGATTGGAAAGTGGCTTCGTCTTCACCACCACGTATGTCCGTGGAGGAATCCGTTGATGCAATCTGGCGCAAGGCCTTCCAACGTAGTTCACGGGTCCTGCACATAGATTCTAACTGCTCTTTGCAGAGTAGAAGTCATCTCTTGAGGAGGTATGTTTATCGGTAGGCGTAGCAATGGCGGGCCCAACGAAGACCTTCTCACTCGTCCAGCCCACTTGATGGTCTGACGGGAGTCTCAGATCCATTGATGATTTGGACCTTGAAGGTGTACTTGCCTGTTAGCATCTGCTGAACAGTGCGAAGTTTGTAGGTGGTAGAGCGAGAATCGTCATTTCGCATTCATCGTCGAGGTCGATGAGAGGAAGGATTGGTTTGTCGCGCAGCTTAGACTCGAAGCTGGTGGTAAGCGTCTTTGGCAATCTTCATGGTAAGGAATAGGTTGAGGTAGCTGAAGCTATTGTGTTTTGTTAACAAAATGCACTACGCTAAAAGCTAGTGTAAGATCTTTCGAGTGTTTTGAGTTTGAGAGAATGAAATTATGAGAGATTAGAAAGCTTGAAAAATAATCAACGAGAGAGATCCACAACCAAAGGATCGTAGATCTGGAACTCCCGTGGGGAGACTGTAGAGTGTGATAGAGTAGGTTGCGGTAGCAATCCTACTCACTCCACGATCCAAAAACGGAACTGTGGAAGATTGCTTAGTACTTTATCTAGTAGCGTGGAAGTACTCCACGCTGGCTAAATATCTAAGAACGATGTTTCATCATCAACCTAGTATGACTAGAGCGGTCATTGAGAACCCTGTCTCAATGACTATTCACGAAAGACTCAGTCATGAGTCGAACTCAAACCCTATCTAGGATCGAGTCGCGAATAAGGCTAAGAGCCGTGTATTGCACCAGAACAATCGTTCTTGACCAAAGTCGGGCGCTATACACAAGATTTCGGACTCCGAAGATTCTCAAGAGGAGACTGCGAGAGAACTCGGGGCGGATCTCAGACCAGAAAGAAGAAGAAGACAAGCCGACGAGGCCAACGAAGTATTGCAAAGAATGAGGAACAGGCTTCAGAGAAGAAGGCAAAGGTTAGAACAGATCCATCAAGAAAGACAACAAGCCGAACCGGCTATCATGGATCCAGCCGCGGTACACACCTTAGTGCAAGAAGCCGTTCAAGCAGCAATTGAAGCAACGAGGATTCCCCCTCCACCTCCTCGCGTCATCCCATTTGCAGTAACTCCAGCAGGAGCAGGTGACGCCGCATGGGACTTCACATCCAGCACCGGACTCAAGATCTTCGTAGCGTCCATTGCCCCTTTCGCGGGATTGTATGACGGAAATGAGTCAGAACTCCGCGACGTCCTGAGAAAGATCTTGCAACGTGCCCAGACGTATGGCTGGATGCAGATATTTTTCATTGCCAACGACGCAGGAGTAGTACGTAACCTGGCCACGGAACATGGATGTCTTACCCTTGCCACCATTCAGACGGCAGCAATCACCAATCTGCGTGGGACTGGAAGGCCTCATCAAGCTACGGAATGCCTTCGCCAGTTGATCATTGGATCAGTGTCGGCAGCAATCGCCGACAAGCTCTACCATCACAGAGCCAACTACACAGTCAATGCGGCTGCAGCTGCAGGCGAGGGCGAGGCAGTTCCAGCGCCCACCATGAAGGAAGACGGAACTTGTATGCTCTATGAGCTCACCACCTTGGTATCGGTAGAGACAAGGGCGATGGTCGCAATCATCCTGAAGAAGCTGGCCAATCTTGATCATGAGCGAGCAAAAGTCCAATGTGGAAGGCTTCAACTCGGTGATCAACGACCTGGTTACTGCACTCCGCGCTAGGGCGGCAACGGTCCCACCCCTCGTCACAGCTTTGTTCGATGGATACGCAATGTGCCAGGACTCCATTTTTGTCAAGTACATTGCCAGGAAACAAGAGGAATATGAGGATGGGTCGATCAACATGATCTGGCCAAGACGGATGACGGACAGACGAGAGTCCCCAATCTGATTCATCCAGCCAGTGCTCTTCCACGAGGATCACCAACCTTGAGTCGCAGAGCCCATTGTTTTGTTTGTCTTGATCCACCTCTCTTCTATCGGTGTAACAAGACTGCTCTTTGGTTGCTTCCATCAGTGTAATTGCCTTGATAATAGACACCATCATTACTAGCTGTCTACCATCTCCATCAATTCCACTGCCGTCGCTGTGTGTCTCTTCTCCTCGGCCCTTTTCTTTTTCTCTCCCATCAATCCAGTGAGCAAAGAAGTACATCCCGTCATTGGGATCAATCCAACCGAACCCAACCCTGGGAAAAACTCCCGCGTACCACTCTCCCATTAACTCCACTCAATCTATTTGCAATCTCCGTGGAATTTTTCCTTGTAGTGGCAGCCATCCACTACTTCCACAACCGACCAATCCATTACCGACCAATCAATTTCTCGAGTACCGTCACTACTACCGTCATTGGCAGCATTTCAACCCCAAAATGGGACCATAATTCAGCATCCTTCCCACTTCCACGATATCCTGTCTCTACTACTACTACCGTGACAGCCAATTCCTACACAACCAGCAGTCAATAAATATCTATTTCCTCAGGAGGTACTACCAGCATCGACTGTCAGCACTCCAACTCCACCCCGGCACTCCCTTCTTCCGTGTCAATTTCCCAATACCGGTACCATCAAAATCCCTTTCTTCTGGTCACTACTGTAATACTATAATGGAAAATCCCCGGACCGGATCCCATACTATCGTATCCCGTCTTGCGTCACAGTCAAAACTACAAATCGACCACTCTCTTCCGAAAACATCATCCATTTGCCAATGCCATCTGATTGCTTTCTTCCACTACTACCAGGACGCCGATCTCGGTGTACAGAATTAGACCGTCCTAAAATTCAAATTCCTCAAGAAGTACTACCGGTACCACCGTCATTGGCAGCACCCCAACTCCAAATCCGTCACTCCCTTCTGGGGCGGTCATTCCATATCATATCTATGAAAAAATCAAATTCCTTCTACCGCCCACTCCTCCCATGACGGCCAATCCCAACCATGATTCCCAATGCTATCAAAGCTTTTCTACTATTACTACTGTGATGGCAAAATTTGCACAATCAGCTGTTCATTTCTCATTCCTTGGGACCCACTATCGTCTTTGGCCACAATCAAACTCCAAATCGACCACTCTCCCTGGGACCATCATACAGCATCGGTTCTCAATGCCATCACGTCAAAAAACAACAAAATCTTTATAACGGATATGGCCCCAATGGACGGATCATCACTGTGCTGCAGCCGAAGCTTTGGGTAACCGCTCCCGGCCGAAGCAGGGATTGGTTTCACAGGAGACCACCACTGGTTCCCTCACCGGCACCACACTCCCTAGGGGAGATGGTGCATTTAAAGTTACATGTAAGTATAAATGGCATATCTCGTGTGGATTTGCCGGACATATATTCCTAACTGATTTGTGGGTTTGGCCGAATGGATTCAGGGAGAGTTACTTGGTGGGTTGGATGGAGGGAGAAAAGGAGGGGCGGAAGCGGATGCAGGAGGGAATTGGAAGGATGGGAAGTGGAGGTCCCGCATCAATTACCCAGTCTCAAGCTGTGTGGCGTAACTCTCTTCCAGGACTGGTTCCCATGTGTTGATCCATCGTCCGATTGATGCTGTGGGCCATTGGGATCTTGTGTTGATTGGTGTTTGGAGAAGCCATACCTGTTCTGGTCTGAGGTTTCCGGTGTATTTGTCATATAGCAGCTGAAGTTCATGGATAACCTGTCGGTTGGCTGCTTGTGCCTTGGTTTGTGCGTCTTTGCCATGCCGATCATGATTCCTGGCCTCCCAGAGTTCGAACCACGGGGTGAGAAATTCTTGAATAATCCCTGTGAGCCAGGTTTGGCCATTTTTCCGATGTGTTTTGAGATTGCATTCCTTGAGGTGTTGATCCTGGCGTTGCGCCCACTGTTTGGATAGTCGTCCCTTGAGGAGCTGATCCCAACCGATGGCTGCTTGGGCGTTTGTGATATCGGCAACACTGTCATCGTATTCAATTCCTGTGGTATCTTCTCCATCAAGTACTTTTTGGAGTGCTGAGAGAAGAAGTGTTTGTAGCATTGGGTGAGTGTTGTGCTTGTCGGTGTATTTCTTGAGGGCCTTCTTCCATGCCGTTCGTTCTGATTGTCGCTTGGGGCATCTCAGGACGTGTTCTCTGTTTTCTTCTGGGGCTCCACAGGATGCGCATGCAATGGGATATTTGGGGTGGTATTTGTTGACACGTTTACCGACGGGGTGCCAATTGCAAAGGTACTTGGTGAGGGAGGTGCGATGGTGATCCAAGCGATTGAGTGCCCTCCCTTGGCATTTCCAGTCGATATCTTCAAATGTGTCGCTGTCCCACTCATGTCTATTCATGAGAAACTGTTTGTGTTGAGGCACCGATCCTGCCAGTTTGAGTTCGTGTTTCAGATTGTGTGTGATGGTTCCACCTGGAAGATTGAGCTGACACCCACTCGTTGGAAGAATTGGACTTGTGTGTGGTCGAAGTTTGGGTGGTCCACCAACCATTGGTTGGCTAGGCCGTCGGCGTCGACGTTGAGTTGGGCTTCCAGCGTTAATTCATCATATGGTTTCTCATCCTCCTGATGGCCTTTGATGTGTTTGATTTTAGCGATGGAAGTGGCCGGTTGGATTTGTTGTAGAGTTTGTCGAATTTCGGCGATAATGTTCCACTCAGCGGACAAGGTACTGTTTGGAAAGATCCTGTCGAATTTGGAGTATTTCGCTGTGACCTCAACCATTGATTTGTTATCACAGAAGCAGCCATGCCTGTGGATTGGTATGTCTGTGGAGTGAATCGTGGTCATGTGGTGGAGGAATCGAAAACCGGACAACATCCCGTATCCTTCGGCACGGTATGAGTTCAGTTGGTAACCAAATGCCGGACCGTTGCACTGAGCCAAGCGGGTACCTTGGGGGTCACTGAGGATCCACCCAAAAGATCCCTTACCATCGGGAGCTGACCCATCACAGGCCAGAATGCAAGCTTTCGTAGCAAGAGCTGTCCAAACCTCAGTTTCGGGAACCAGAAAGTGTAAGTCCCGGAGTAGATGCTGTTCCCAGGCGTCCAAAGTAGGAATGAGTGTGTTGATTGATGTGTGTGTTTCTGGCTGCTGTTGCTGTATGACATTCTCATACCCCGTCATTTGAAGTGTATAGGGTCTCACTTTGTAATCACACGGGGCCGCAGTTTCAGGTGGAGTGTTGACAATGCCAGAAGGTGTCTGGTCGAAATCGTATCGGATGCTCTGATGCATGGTCCATCCCTCGGGAGTGTGACAATACATGTGATCGGAGATTTCCGTGTCGGATCCAGGGTCGTACAAGGCAGGCCATCGTCGTCGGAGTTGCGTTGCGGGGAGTAGCCAGGTGGTAAGGTGGTGTTCGGTTTTGAGATATTTCTTCTTCCTGGACGACGTGTAACAGAAGTAACCCAGTGCCCGTCTCCATGCTTTCCAGGCTGTCTCGTTTGGTTTGGCTTGCTTGACTCGTACGTGGTTGCAAGTGCTGAAGGTTTTGTCGAAATCCCCAGAGTACATGGCAGGGTCAATTGTGTCACCGGCCGCATTACAAATATCCGAGAGAGAAAACACATTGAGGTACATGCGACAGAAATTGATGTGACGGATTTCGCATGGCTCAAAATAAGCTTTGCCTGTGTTCTTGCCGCTGGTGTGGGTAGCTTGTACCACTACTGACATGATTGCTTTATCATTGGTTCTTTGTGCCTTAGGAACGTAGGGGTTCTTAAGTTCGAGATTTCCGTCAATGGATCTCAAAAACTCTTGAAGGGATTGAAGCCACTTGGATTCGAGGTGATGAGTTAGTGGAATCTGGGGGTTCCCAGAACAGACCAACTCACACCTGCACAGAACTGCAACCATGCCACGGTGATGTGAAGGAGTTTTCCCTGAGGACTGTTTGGGGAGCGCCAGCTTTTGATGAATTGGCGGCATTGGCCGTACCCCTGATCGTCATACAAATGAAAGAGACCGGCACCGCCCATGTATTTTGGCCCATGCAGAATTGCTTTTGGGGTGTTTGGGTTAAAACCCATTTTGGACGTGAAGGCCCGTTCGACTTTTCTTTGGGCTTTGTCTAGTTCATCGAAGGTAAAATAGGCCATTGGAAGGGGATAGGAGACACTGGGCCGGTAGATGGTCCAATATAGCAGGTGAGCTTCCTTCGGAGAAAGGTGGCTCGTTTTGACAATGCGGCAAAATTCCTTGCACTTTTTGGCAGTGATATCTAACTGGTTTTTTTTGTCAGCCGGACATTCGTAGCATCCCAGATACCTTGTGGCTTTGGTGTTGGCCCATTGCTTGATTGTGGTGCCTTCATCGTCGGAGTCAGCATCATCTTCGTGGAGTTGGAAGAGACTTTTTCAAGGGAAGCCGAAAACCGAAGCGCTTCCCCTCTGGATCTGTCACTACAAGAACAACAACACTAATAGCAACAAACACAACCAATCGGTCATACCTATACCATTACACTACCTATTAGCACCATTAGAAGCATTGAAACGAAGCGAAAGGACCTCAGGAAGCCCGTTTTCTGTTATCTTGTTGAAGAGTACTGTTTTACTATAGGAATCCGCTCAACGTCATCACAGGAAACACACTCCTTTTCCTCTCTTTATCCTCATTCAAGTCCCTCCAGTCGACAGGATCGATACCTCCTATCACCTGCGCACCTCCCCTATCAAGCGACTTCAAAGCGGCCTTCTCCGGTTCAGATTCGAAAACCATCCCAATGAAATCCTACGAGATCG